TGCAAGGCTGAGTCAGTTTTCTCCGTGTCTAGAAGATTGTGTAACCGTCTAAGTCCATGACTTAAGAATTTGACCAACCCGAACTGCTGAACTCAAACCATACAAGTTGGGTTGGGTTGATTTTTTTTAAAAATAAAAAATTCGAGTCAACTGTGTCTAGAAAATAGAGTTGCAACTCAACCCAATACTACTCTACTTCTAAGACTGTTACCAAGATTAGAATATTTGACGTTTGTAATTGATGTTAATAATACAGTGTGATTTGTAAATATTTGATATTTGAGTTTTATGAGATTTTAATTATTAATATAACATATTTTATATGATTTTTAAAAAATTATTTAAAGAAATGAACAACTCAACTCGAAAACCAAGTATTAGTTGTAAACTCTATTCGAGTTGCTCGGGTCACCAACCTAACTAACTCGAAATTTCAAGCTGGTCCAAAAGGTTTTTCTAACAAAACCCGTGTACATTTTTAATTTAAACTCGAACTACCCCGAATAAATTGATCCTCCAATCCAACTCAATCGGTCGAATTCGTTAGGTCACCAAGGTTTTTTTAACATCCTAATCATTGGTTTAAAGGGCACGTTGGACAATAATTTAATGTTTTTTTATGGAATAGGATTGGGCTATAATTATATACATATTTAATTGTATAAGGATATCAATTCGGATTTTATTTGAATTAAAAAAAGGCAAAAAGAAAAGATTTACCTAAAAGTATGAATAAAGTGGGACCCACCATTCTTTTACTCTCTCTCTTAGGTTGGTCTGACGTTTTTTCCTTGCCCCTGTCCCTGCCACGTCATCTTGAACCGGTCAAAATTTATTCCATGGCTAACACGGCGTCGTTTCAGGCATTTATTTATATATATATATATATATACATATATATAAAAAATCCAAATAAAAGATTGTCATAAATTAAGATTCTAATATTTAGAAAATTTTCAAATAATTCAAATTTTAATTACTTGTTGGACTTGTCAACCAAGTTTAGAATATATAAGAAACATTAGTTACAAATTTAATTTTTTATTTCATTATAATATTATCATTTTAAAAAAATTACTTGAAAGAATTAAATACTTAAATTATAGTATAACTTCTTCGTTAAACTGCTATTCATAATTTTTATTTTAGGAATATAATGTTAAAAATATAAAATATGGGTTTGATCTTTAAAGCTATATAACACATCATTCTCGAAAAATTGTTTTAATTAAATAGGTTAAATTACAAATTTAGCCCTTAAAAACCGAGTAAATATGTTCGACTTAAAAATACACGAAAATTAACCCGTAATTAGTCGTTATAAATTTGCAAAAATCTAATTGAAATTATTAAAATTTATTTTATATTTTTTCATAAAAAATTAGTATTGAATTATTTAATTTCCACTTGACTGAAAAGTCATAGGCCATAATTTGACCAGGAAATAAATTAAATTTTAGGGCAATAATATTTTTACGTTTGTTATTTATTTCCATAATTTGGATAAAACTGGTCCGAAAATTTGCCTTTTTTAAAATAATAATAATAATAATAATAATCAGCTGCTTCCTTTTTTTGCAGCTCTTCCTTTAATGGAACGCATTTTCCCTTCCAGTTTCATCCCTTTCTCTCTCTGTAAATGGCAGCACTATCTCTTTAACCAACGTTTCACGACAACGAAGAAGGAATCTCCGCTACTTCCACTTCCGTTTGATTCTCAAATCTTCACGATCATGGAGGTTCTCTTCGGTCCTCCCTCTTTCAACATTCCGGACGCCTCTTCTTCCTCTTTCGTAAGAGACCGAACCGCCGTATCTCCGCCGCCGCAGCACCGTGTTGATTCGCCTTGGAACTCTATCAAATCGGATTTCGGACGTTTCGCCTCCGGTAAAGGTCCGGAGGATGAAATCGATTACCGTTCCGATTCCTCGTCGTCGATTGGAGTTCCTGATGATGATAGCGATGAGGAGAGCGTTTCGTTTACTGGCGGAGATTGCGAGGAAGTTCAGAGTAAATTAAATGCAGGATTGAACTCTGTCGAATCGTTGGAAAGGTCTCTTCCAATTAAGTAAGTTAGTTTTCCTTTTCCTTCTCGTCCTCTGTTGTTTGATCGATTAATTGAAGGAGATGAACTCAATCACTCGATTCGATTTGAAGAAATTTGTCCTGTTCAATTTGCTGGCCTCAATTTGAGATTTCTTGAAATTTTAAATCAGGAGAGGCTTATCGAGTCATTTTTCTGGAAAATCGAAATCGTTTGCGAATCTAGCAGAGGCGAAATCAGTAAAAGACATTGAGAAACCTGAAAACTCATTCAACAAGAGGAGGCGATTTTTGATTGCGTCGAAATTGGCGAGAAAAACTTCCTTCTACACCTGGCCAAACCCTAAGTCGATGCCTCTGCTAGCGCTCAGAGAAGAAGAACACCACGACGATGGCGACGGCGACGAAGATGAATCACTTGCTCCATATTCTTCAGAAGATAATGAAGATGAAGAAGAAGAACCGAAGGAAAAAAGATCTTCAGATTTTCAGCACAGAAGATTGATGAGCTTTAAGTCTAGAAGCTTCTCTCTGGCCGATCTGCAACAGAAGCACCATGATGATCCATAGCCTTACCTTCTCCCTCTCTCTTTATTTTTATTTATTTATTTATTTTTTTGGTTATTTGTTTCTTCTCTTTCCTTTTCCCCTTGATTTTATTTTCTCGTCATATATGTATTGTATCCATTATACATAAAATAGTATTTTTTTAGTTAAATTAAGCTATAACTTTTAATTTTAATTTTTATTTAATAATTCTCTAACAAATTTAAATTTTTAAAAATTAATTAGTTTATGAAGTATATATTTAAATTTTATATCTAAGAAAATTAATTAGTTTATAAAGTATATATTTAAATTTTATATCTAAGAAAAACCATTGAGTAATGTAAAAATAAAAATTTGAAAATAATATAATGTAGTTGTATTTTATATTTTTAAAATATATTTGATGGTAAATTTTTAATCTTCATTTAACAAAAAAAAATATATATATATATATATATATATATAAAACAAAATCGAGACGGAAATACCCAACTCACAATTTATTAAGTGAATTTAAATTTTTTGAAAGTTGGAGTACTAAATTTTTAATTTCAAATTTTAAAATTAAAATTATTATTTAACCTTCTTTTGCAATTTTATATTATTTAGTAAACATATTTTCACTTAAAATATTAATTTAATCACTCTATTTTAGTATTTATAATTGTGATGGCGTAAATATATTTTCTATAAATTAAATTAAGGACTATTTTAAGATTTATAAAAAAATATAGGACTAAATTTAAAATTTAAAAAATATAATAAATTTCATAAGGTATAGATCAATATTATATTTTTAGAACTTCAATTTCGTCATTTTAATCTTATAAAATTTCAATTATTTTTTCTTAATCTGAAAGGATAATCAACGGAGTCGAATCCACCAGAAGAATTCAACCAAAAATTTCAACAATATTAGTTTTTATTTGGATTTGATTTGAAAAGTTGGAATAAGAAGATAAAGATAAGATCATTTGGTTTGGACGTGGATGTTTTAACCAATTAATGTTTGGAAAAGTGGGGGATTTATTAATTATGTTAGTTAGTTGGGGTGAAAATGGAATAAATTTGAAATTATGTCCTAAAATAGTTGGGGCAATGACTTTGGAGATAATTTTTTGGGTTCTTTTTTCCTTTCATTGTTTGTAAGCAACTAATAGAGATTAGTCAAATCAATGATGAGGATCGTTGATGGTATTGTTATCATTTAATATATATATATATATATATATATATATATATATAAGCGAGATGAACCTCTATTTTCGACGACTTAATCATAGGAATTTCGAAATTAAACATTTTGAGCAATTTTATGTTAGGTAACTTCGTGGAATATTTTATAAGACTCGTGGGAGTGATAATAGAGTATGTTAGAAAAACTCTATTTGTTCGATAGTTTTCACTGATGTCCACGAGCTCCCCATCCTCGCCCTGTAAAATTCTCTATTTATTTTTGCAAGGATTAGGGCGAGGATAGGGTTTCTGGTAGGAACTGTTCTTCGTTTGTTATTATTATAAAAAAAAAATAGTAATTTTAAATAAAAATATTTAATTTATACTTTTCATTTTTTGGTTCCCAAGGTTATTAGAAATTAAAATTATTTAATATAACATTAATCCATATTTAAATTATAGGGAGAAAAATGGTGGTTTTTTTAATTAATAAATTAATAGTTAAATCAACTATGATAATGATAAACGAGAAAAGCAAAATAACATAAATTATATAAATAAATTAGTCCAATTGGCACAGTAAATATTAAAAGCATTTGTTATTACTAAAATTAGAGGAAGATAAGAAGACATAAAAACTCGTGTAATTTGAAATAAAATTTGAAAATATATCTATATTTATATTAACGAGATGGAACGGGTTGGAGAATTATGTATGATCAGGAAATATAATCCTCGTTTCTGACCTCATTTATGTGAAATTCCGTCTTACTCCTTGAACGGGGAATTCCTACCCGTTCGAGGTGGGTACTCATGAGGCCTCAACTCTCGCGGGTTAAATGGATATATATCTAGTCTTCGCTTTTAGAAGTACGATAAGTCAAATAGGTAACATAGTCATGTCGCATGAGACTCGTATGAGACTCGTGTACCAAAGATGGACTCTAAATTCATTCCAATTGTGTGCATAGAGCATTTTGATTGGCACGGAAACGTTAAAAAAAAATAAAATCAAAATTGATCCAAAATAACAAAAATAGTTAGATTTGAATTAAAATAATAAAAATAGTATCTAAATTTTCATTCTAATAATATAAATAGGGAGACCTATGCTATTTTTCATTAAAAGAAATATTTTATTGATATTCTATTGGGCCTAGGCTCAAACAATAGTGGGCCCAATCTTTAGGCCCATGAGGTCAACATAGAATTTCTGGGCGATTTCACTGAAAGTTCGGTAGCTACTTCGCGTGAAGATATCATGATTTCTGTAATTTCAGCATCTCGATTCACTTTCTCCATTTCCAAATCCACGAAGCTCTGTTCGTGTTCGAGGTCTAGGGTTTGGCCCTCTTCTTCACTCAGTCTCCGCTCTCGTAACCGAAATTCGAATCTGTTTAGCTCCGATTCTATGAGTGAATCCGCTGAAAGTAACTCCGCTCCTCCACCGGACGACAGCGTGGAGAAGACAGCCGACGTTTTGATTCAGTACGTGGTGCTCCGGAGAGATCTGATCGATTCGTGGCCTCTTGGAAGCGTCGTAACTCAGGGATGCCATGCTTCAGTCTCCGCTGTTTGGTTGAACAAAGACGATCCCCACACTTTCGAGTACTGTAGTCCACACAATATCGATTCTATGCATAAGGTTGGTCGAAATTTTGATTCCATTTTTTAAATTTGATGTGTGGTGCCTCGAACTCGGACGGACAAAATGTAGTATCCATGTGTAGCCTTGAACCTTCTCTGTTGATAAGCTGGAAATTTGCTTCGTTGGTGCGCTGTTAAGTCGCTATAGATGAGACAGTCTGAGCAATTTGGAGCTTTCGTGTTATGGTTCTAGTCGCTGGTTGATTTATTTAATTCTGGAAAGAACATTTTGCGTCTATCAAGCATTTTGGAAGAACAATTGTTTACTGGAAAACTATTTTTGTTTCGGTTCTTGTGTTCTCCATTAAAGTATATTTTTGCTATTCTGAAGTTCGAGTCCTCCTTGCTCGTATTGTTTGTTGAATGTCCTGATTTTTCGACCTAATATTCATACGGTTGTATCTCTCTAGGCTCTCCACCGTATTCGTAGAGTCGTAGGGAAAGGAGAGGGTTATTTTCTTAGTTCTATAGCTTCCAAGGAATTTTTCACCTCCATTTCGCATTGGCCTGTGTAACCAGCCCCATAGTTAATGCTAACCTCATCATTTCAAGCCTGCAAAACGATGAACTGCCAATTGGAAGTTTCCTTGCACATCAGATTCTTATCGCGTGCAACTTAATTAGTTGAAATTACAGTTGTTCTGCATTTCATTGATCCAATCCCTGAAGTCAGTACTGACTTTATTTAACTTTATGTAGGTTACTCTTGAGGTGAAGGGAGAAACTCAGATCGTCAACTTGTCGGAGAAACTTAGAGCAAATTCAATCGCCCACAAACTATGGATAGAACAACCAGAGAACATCCCAACATGTCTTGCAACAAAACCCTACCCCAAATCTGTTGTATCAGCATTTTTTAAAAAACTGAAGCTCTGCAAGTGATGGAATATTGAATTGTAAAGAATTGACGAGTAGTTTCATTTGTTATGCTCCATTTCTAGTTCATATTAAGATATGTATAATTCTAATTTCGAAGATATCCAGGATTACAAACCGTTTCTGCAGAGATCATGCGGCACACGCGAAGTAGCTCATAATCATAAAAGAGACGTGGCAGAAGAAAGACCAATTTTTTGGAGCAATCAAGGTACGTATATGGTATCTCTATTTCTTAAAAGTAATAGATTTCTTTACACAAACACTGATTAAAATCACAAAACAAAGATCAAATAGGTCAACCCCCTGTCTAAACTTCACAGATCATGAAGAAAAAGTACAAAAAAAAAAAAAAAAAATCTGTAAGATAGTGGTGTTTCTACTGTATAACGAGTTGTCTGGTGCACATGGTGCAATAGAACTTGCGTTTGGTTTTCCAGTAAAGGGGGAGGAAGCAGAACCTCCATTGGCTTTCAACGTCGGTGGCCTGGATCATGCCTCCGCAGAAGGGGCAAGCCCCTGGAGCTGGTTGCCTGGACAGCACCCTCTGATCCTCATCGCACACGAACACCAAACACATCTTGTCACCTCCTTCAGGTTCTTGCTTTTCCTTGGCTTCTAAGCTTCTTTCTGTTAATTGTTTGTTTGCTTCCTGATTTCTTTTTTGGGTTTTGGATGAAAAATCTGGTTGGGAAAGTGGTGGACTTGGAAGACTTTATAGAGAGAGAAAGAACGAAGTTTCATGGAATTTGAGGTTTCCTTGGGGTTTGGCCTGTTATGGTGGAGAACCGCGTGCATCTAGAAGATTCTGACCCACTCCAGAAAGAAGGAGAAGAAAAGTATTAGATCCGGAACAAAGTCCAGATGGGGGAATTTCGTACACTCGTCTTCACAGTAGGAACACGTGGATCTCCAGGTTTGACCAATCCTAGTTGCTCTAATTCAACTCTTTTTACCTGTTTATTTTTTTCTTTCTAGATTTTAAAAAACAAATCTATTTATCTCTAATCGTACAACTTTTGTTTTTTGTTTTTTTTTCTATTTCTTTTCAATATTTTTTTGGGCATTAATACTTTTTTAAAAAATATTGTAAGACAGCCCAATAAAGACAAAAAAAAAAAAAAAAAGAAGTTATTTTTGTTCGAGGTTTCGAAAGTGCCCACGTTTTTTTTTTATCAATGTTGTAAAGTAATGGAGTAGTTAGTCTTACTTTAAGACGATTTATTTATTTTTTATTATTTTTATTATTATTATTATTTTTTTATCTACGATTGAGTGGATGGTTCGGTTGCTGCTCAAAATTAGTCTTTGGCGGGTTTAAATACTTTGGTCCTTTTATTTTATGATTTGATTTACTGTGTATTTTGTGCTTTCAAAATGTTTTTTTGGTCGGCATATTCTTAATTTTGTTTAATTTAATTTTGTTTAATTTTTATACAAAAAGAAAGCTCTTTAATACAAATTTTTAGCTACTAAATTTTAAGAAAGAAATAGAATAAAGTGTTATGACCATGCTTTGCATCTTGAAAAATAAAGTTTGCCCTTTTTTTCTTTAGATATTAAATGTTTATTTTTGTTTATTTTGTAGAGTTTTAAGGGAGTGTTAATAAACTCTATTTAGTTGGGGTCTCTCTCTCTCTCTCTCTCTTTCTTTCTTTTTTTTTTTTTTTTTTTTTTTTTTTTTTTTTTTTTTTTTTTTAAA